GCAATATTACAAATAGAGTAAAAGTAACTTTTAATACTGTGTTTGTAACCGCAAGTTGTATTATTTGTTCTTATTTGATGGTTTTGTATTTTTTTTTTCAGTTGAGACTTAACTCCAAATGTGTAATGTTTTGGGGTGCACTTGAAAGTACCTCTGTCTCTACTCCTGGTGACTTTAAATTACCTTTGCTCTGAAGAAGATTACACCAAAAATAGGGGATGTACTGGAATATTTTATGCTGATTTCCATTTTGCATGAAAGAAAAATTATGGTACTAAAGGAACTGAACAATAGAACTATTGTAATTGAGACGTTCCTACAATTACCAGACAGTCATGTTTCCTACATCTCACGTGATAAAGGTAGATGTGTGTTGGTTGCTTTTGATCATGAGCTGCTGCTTCAGGCACCTGCTAAGGATTAGATGCTGGAGTGACGTGTACCTGCAAGCTGGAAATGCTGCCTGTTGTATAGGGGTCTGCTTTCCTTTCCTGCCACGCTGGGAAAGGTTGAGGGTTGGGAGCAAACTTGCTCATGAGGAGCTCATTCTGAATTAAAAATTTAAAAAAGGAATCTTAAGATAATGGCCTTTAAAATCCTTCCCCGATCCTGAGCACTAATCAGAAATCATCCTGATGAAAGAATAATTAGGTGAATAAAGTCGTGGGGCACAAACACTGTAATGCCTTAAAGGGAAAATCTGCTGTCATTCGCTGCATTTAGATTCCTAATGTGATGGTTTGCTCCTTTCCTCATAAGGAAAAAATCCATGAGATGGCCTTGTGTAGTAGGACAAAGAGTGTAATTTGGATCTGTACATCAAAAGCTGAGACCACCTGCTTAAGTTTCAGAAGATTGCTTCGCCAATGGAAGAATAGCTCAGTTCTTGAGAAACGGGAATCCCTATTTTGAGGCACAAAAGAGAAACACTTGATGCTTCTAAAGGACCTGCAGGGTCCTGGGAGATGGTGATAGAGTGTATTTCCTTTGGATCCTTTTGTTCCTCTCTGCAAGGTGAGGAATTTATACTTTAATGGGAAAATCAAGTTGTTTAATGGCTTACACCATCTTATCAACAGGGAGAGATTATGAACTTTAATAAAACAAACATACCAAGTTGGAATCTCATGTAGAAGAAGAGGTAATTTATTCAAATAAATGGACTGTCGAAGGGAGTTAAAATTCATCCCTGACTTTTTTTCTGATAGCAGGGGTTCTAGGCTGTGTTTCTAAGACAGAGGTTTGAGGTAATAATGGAAGTAGAAGTACCAGCATCCATAGCCCTGAGAATTGGGAGAAAGGGTAAAGTATGGGGATGCTCTTACCTGAAAGAGAGGGCAAGAGGGTGATATGTTCCATGATATCTTAAGGCTGAGATAACTGAGAAAAATTTGCTTGCAGGGAGGTATAAGAGCGTCTCTGCTTTCTGCACTCTGACCTTCCATTGTCCCTTGCAGAGCATTTGAAAGGGTTGTGCAGTTCCCTTGATCTATTTAAGAGAAAGAAACTGTGTCAAATCTCTCCGTTCCCTAGCCATCTGTCTTTCAGATCACATCTATATTATGACGAGGTATTATGATATTAGATGAACTGTCTAAGGTATTTTAATTAATACTGTGCTAAACATGAATGCATATTCTGTTTGGATAAGGACAATTGTGTTTGCAGTAACGTAATCGTAAGCAACTCGCAATACTTCTGACGCAGTGAATGTTAAGTAACTTTTAACAGTGTTATTTGAAGTGATTGGTGCTTTCCTTCTGGCTTGTCTTGTTCAATTAAATAAGGTCTCGAAGCGTGTATTTGCCATTATTTCCATATGGTGCAACCCAGAAGTTTAGTGACAAATACTCAGAATGGCAGCTCAGAAGACTTCTGCAAGGGGAGGCCTCTCTTCTCTGAAAAGCATTAGTGTTTGGGACCCTCGATGGCCACCAACAGAAGTTCTTATAGGAGCTCTGACATTCACATCAGATTTAAAAATTTAGTTTGATTGCTGACATTAATTTTTAAAACTTCTTAACAAAACCTTTAAACCGTTTAAATAATCTAATGAAGTAGGCATTGGATTCCAATTTCATGGTGGCGGTTTTTAAATGTGCAGTCTTTATGATAAGGAAAAATAAAAACAGCTCCAGAAAAAAAAAAAAAAACAGGGCATATAAATCTCAGAATTTTGTGTTTATGCTTGCACAATACTGCTATGCTTTTCCCATGCTTTACAGAGTAGTATGAATATTGAGGTTGGCAGGAGTGGGCTCTGTTAAGAGAGGAAAAAGACAGAAGAAATAGTTGTTTTGCAGCCCTGCGCAATAGCCGCTGTTTGCTTTGGTCTGTGCCTTGTACATGGGTGACCCTGAATACCTGCTTGCTGCCTGGGAGACTAGTGCCCCTGCCTCCTTTACAGGGTGGGATGTTTGTTCTATGCTACACTTAGGCTAAGAATATTTATTAAAGCAATCGGTATTTATGTAGAGGTGATAGGATGCTCATCAAGCTGGTGAATGCAGAGGAACAGGTGCAAATATATTTGGTAACTTTAAGTTATGCAAACTTGCATTCCACTGACTCTACAGTAAAATACAAATTTTTTGGTTTTTCATTCTGAAGTGGCTCGTATGCCCCTCTAGTGACTCTCCCTGTTTCAAAATAGGTATCACCAGCAGAAGTGCAGAAAAGTATTGGCAATAAATATGTAATAATATGTACTGCATTTCAAATAAAAGCAATCTATCATCCACACAGCTGTACCTGTTAATGCTATCATTTATATGTGCATAATCAGGAAATACAAACGGCATAGTTCACTTCAAGCGAAATGTTTCTTGCAGGTCCCATTCTGTCAACGATTGGGGTGTCCTCCTCAGAGTTTATCTATCCCTGCAAGGTTCTCACCTTGTCTTCCCAAGTTCACCTTCATTCCATGTTGACTTAAATGGTAAGAATCAACTCAGATGTGGTTGCATTTTGAAGAAAATTCTGCTGTGTTTTTTCTTAGGCAGGAAAAGTATCTATTTCATTACTGGTCAGCTTGGCAGCCAGAAGAATCCATGAAGTGCTGAGGCTGTAGAATGAAGAAGTGGAGAGCTGGAAGAATTAACCAATTCCTGTCACTACAGATGTTTTCTGCTCCCAAAGTGCTTGTAAGAGATGAAGAGGTATTTATTATTGAAATATACATAGACTAAAAAACAAATTCTCAAAATCAGCAGCAGCCTATTTCCAACAGATGCAACTCAATGACTTTGTCAGGTTTTGTCCCTTCAAAAAGCTATTTCTGCATGCTGTGGGAGTGCTTCAGGAAGGAAAGTAATAAAGCTATTGTAAATATATATGCCTGAATGTGAATATGAATTAAGGTGTGATTGAAGAAGTTGTTTTTTTCTAAATCAATAATGTATAAACATGCTTGCTTATTGGCCACTTTCTGTTTGCACTCTACACAGGAAAGCAAAAACCAACAGCCCAAAACCAAACAAAAAAGCAAACAGAAAGCTGTCCGTGTTCAGTGTTGAAACATGTCGCACATGTTAAAAAAATAAATAATGAAGGTTTCCACAGCAACCTAAGTTCTGTAGTGCAAATTGATGACTTTCATTCTGTTTTATTATATAATGATAGAACAGATATTCTATAAAAAGTGTTGGGTACATCTGAAGTTATATTATTAAAAAGTTTAATGTAATGCTAAAACTTAATATCAAGTAATTTATTTCTGAATAAATTAATTTCATCATTTATTTCTGAAAAGGCTGTATAAAAAGTGTTGTTTTCTGCCTTTAGCTTTGGGAAGGCTCTGACTGGAGAAAAGTCACTAATCTGGCAGAATATTTGCAGTGATCAAAATTTCCGTTAGAGGAGAAGTTTTGAGTTACATGTTTCAGCTTTTAATTTGCTGTAAGGAATTAAAATTTAGATTTTATGGAAAGAGTAGAAATGAAAGATGAACTCGAAGATGAAATCTAATAACTAGTTTACATTTTTGATAACTGTTCATTGTTAATGAAATGCAACCTGTAGACATTTTTGCCTGATACTTAGAAGCTTTGGAAGTTAATTTAATAATAACAACAACAAAAAAAAATCACAGCACGAGACAAATTTTGATCTAGGGGCTGGTGGTGTCACCAGTTAATGTGCTGACAGCATTTCCTGATTCTGGTCAAATTCCAACCTTAAATGCTGCCACTGTACACTTCATAAAATACATTATTTTTCAACAGTTTAAGTATGCTAACTTTAACTATTTGAAATAATTTGAAAAGGTTTTCATAAAAGCAGCCGGTGAGCTCCCAATCTTTGCGTCCTGTTCAGACAACGCGGTTCAAAGTCAAGCACCATGTCCTCGGTGTGCGCAGGAGGATATCCACCGCGGAGCTTTGTAACAAGGGAACAAACAAGAGAATTTTCTTCCCTTCACCTGGACTGAAGTTGGATTTTTCTTGTTGTTAGAACATGCCCCTGCCCCAGTCCTGTGTTCTGGGGGTTTCCACGCGTGCCGCACCGCGCAGCCGGTGTCCTCTGCTGCGGGCTGGTGTTACCAGTGGGTGTGTGTCCCTCCACACATCTCCCACCCGCCCTCCTTGGTACAGATTCACTTCCTCTGTTTTCTTAAAAGAATTTTTGCTTTTATTTTATTTTATTTTAAAACCCCGACATCTGACCGGCTGGAGGCCAGAGTTCGAGTGCAGCCTCTGAGGGGGCTCCAGGGCCTGAGGCGCCACACGCAGCCGCCCGGGGCGGGCGCTGTGACCGCGGCGGGGCCGCCCCGCTCCGCTCCCGCCCGGGGGGGTGGGGGGGGGGGGGTGGGGGTGGGGGGGGTGCGGGGTTGCCGCGCCGCGGTCCCCCTCCCCCCCTCCCCTCTGCGGGCCACGCGCCGCCACCCCCGCGCCTCGCGCCCGCGCGCGCCTCGTGCGGCCGCGCGGAGCAGGAGGGGGCGGGGGGAGGCGGTGCGAGCCGCGCACGCGCGCCGTGCTCCGCCGGGAGGTGGGGGGGGGCGCGGCAGCGGCTCGAGTCCTTCGGCGGCGGCGGCAGCGAAGAGGAGGAGGAGGAGGAGGAGGAAGCAGGAGGAGGCTGGGGGCTGCCGAGTCGGCAGGGTGGGAGCCCGCTGGGGCGGCGGAGCCGCGCTAGGAGAGGCGCTGAGCCGGCGGCGAGCGCCCGGCGGGCGCTGAGGGGAGCGGCGGCTGTTGCTGCCCGGGCGGGCTGGGCGGGCGGGGGGGGTGATCTTCCCCCCGCCCCCCGGCAGCGGCCGAGGGACCCTCAGCGCAGCCCCGGCCGGAGCGTGAGGCGGTAGGGGAGGGGGGGGAGGGAGGGCTGCCGGAGCGGCGGCCGCGGAGCAGCGTCCCCCGCTGAGGGGGGGGGAGGAGGAGAAGCCGCCCCCGCTCCATGAGCGGCGCTCGCCCGTCTCGCTCTGCCCAGGGGATCCGCGGCCGTGGCCGGCTGCCGCCGCAGCAGCATGTGGAGTCCGACCGAGGAGGAGAAATACGGCGTGGGTAGGTGCTGCCACATCCACACACCCCCCCCGCCCCACCGTGTGTGTGTGTGTGTGTGTGTGTGTGTGTGTGTCTCCCGCGACCCCGCAGCGGCCGGACCCCGGGGGGCGGCAGCTCCAGGCCTCCGCTGCCTCTCGGCGGGGGTGGCGATGATCGCCCCGGCGGCGCTGCCCGGCAGGTAGAGAGCGGGGAGGATGGCAGGCGCTCCCCCCGCGGGGCTGTGGGAGGCTGCTCGCAGGGGAGAGCGGGCATCGCCTGCCGCTTGCCTTGCCTTGCCTTGCCTTGCCGTCCCTGCCCGCACCCCCCCGGCAGCCGCTCAGCGTGCCCGCGCGGGGGGTGACTGGGGCTATTTCCCTGAGTTTTAACGCGGCGAAGCAACGAGGCAAAAAGTAGACTTTCGGGGCCGGCGCCGAGGGCCTGATTGCACGAATAATCAGCGAACGAATCGCTGAGCCTTTAATCTACTTAAGCGCGCGGTTCCTTTTTTTTTTTTTTTTTTCTCTCGGTTCTAATCCGCCGTTCGTGGTGAGCCTGTTTACCCGGAGTTGGGGGCGCGGCCGTGGCGCGGCGGCATTAGGGGGCGTCGGCGCCGCACCTGCCGCGGGGGGGCCGCGCCTCGGCCTGCGCGGCGCTGCGCGCCGGGGGGGCGGCCGGGGCTGCGCCGGCCGAGGGGCTGGGGCTGGGGCTGGGGCTGGGGCTGGGGCTGCGGTGCTCCTGCCTGGTGCATTGCGTTCCTTCGGAACGGCTCCTGCGGCTTGCTCTGAATGCGCCGTGGTGGTGGTTTTTCGTGGTTTGTGGGAAATCGGGGTTTACCGGTGGCTAGGAATCGCGTTTGTGCTGAGAGATCGTCACTGGTGGCTTTTTTCTTTTAGTGGACAGTAGTTTCTGATAGGAGCAGAAATGTTATGCCTAATGAAGTGGAAGGAAGACACAGACTTTCTTTAACCTCACTTTAGCTTAATTTCGTTTTGTTTTTTTTTTTTTTTTAGTGTTGATTTGTATAATAAAGTAGGTAGTATCTACCCCGATTTGCTACCTAAATACTTCATTCAACTTACAGTTATCAATTGTTCATATCGATTTTTAAGTTCCCCAGTGTGTAGTGATGAACAACTTCTGAAAACATTTAAAAAATAAACGAACTTTCTACAAAGGTCTGTTAATCTGTACTGCTGAAGTGGGATTTTGACAGTTGACTTGTGAGCAACTAGAAGCCTTAATGTCACTAGTATTTACAAGGCATTTTGAGCATTTGGCCAACAAACAACAAAATGTATAACTCCTTTTTGTTAATTCTTCGTCTTGTGCAACAAATGTTTTGCTTAGTACATTCCGCAGATCTTCATAATGAACGGAAGAAGTAAGAAGTTAACTTTTATTTAAAAAAAAAAAAAGAAATACATTGTGTTAGATGAGAGCCTACAAGTGTAGGGCAGTGTACAGAGGTGGCATAAAATAACAGGAGAAAGTCATTATTTTCAATACTGTTGCTAAGCTTGACAATCACTAGGAGTGTGTAAAGTTAACAAGCTTTGTTAAATCTCAGCTGTATGTTCAGAGAATACAAAGTATCCAGACTTGCTCCTACCTCAGCTGTTGGTGAACGGCCACCTCTGTTGTCTGAGTACTAAACTTGCTGGTATAGTTGTAATAGACGCTTCAGAAAACATTATTAATTCTCCAAGTCTTGTTGGTTTTCCCCTGTTCCATTTATGTAGTCATTTTTCTTTGCTGTGGTGTATGGTTTGATATTCAGGGTTTTGCTTGTTTGTATTTGGCCCATGTTCTCGAAGAAGAAAATATGCATGCTACCTTGATTTAAAAGTAGATAAACTGATTTTTTTTTTTTTTTAATGTAGATTTATGGCAGGAAAAGATAAGAAGTCTCCATTCAGGTTGTAAACAAGTCTAGAAGAGGCATCTGTAAGAGACAATAGCAAATGAAAACAAGTGTTGTTTCAGTGAATATTCTGTAGTTTTAAGAATATTCCAGTGGTGTTGCATTTTCTTTTTTAGACAGCACACATGTTGGTAGGTCTGAGATAATGGCTAAGTCAAGAATTTTGGTCATCTCTAGGCAAGTGTTTTTTTATTTTTATTTTTGGGTAACTTTAATTGCTTTTCCTGTGATTTGAAATTGGTTGATAATCCTCCAGAGGGGGAGAATAGGTGAAAAATGCTGCTTATGTCTGGATTTTAGTTATGATAAATGGGGAGAGAAGTACTAGTTTTTCACAAGTAGATCTGTCATTGCTTGCTGGAGTGGTCATTTTTGTACGTTTTGGAGAAACTAGTCTACAGAAGGTGTAGACCTAAGATTTTACTGTTAGGAAGTGTACTAGGTGGGAAAAAAAAATTCTTTCCTGATTTCACAAATACAATAATATATGCAAAAATAAATGTTTTGTCATGAGTTGCTGGTGTGAGTTTATGCCTTGGGCTTTAGTAGTTTGTTCTTATTTTGACCACTGTCTATCCAAGAAGCCCTGTGTGTTTTCTCTGTGTTCTTGTAAACTATGGAAAGTTTTTGATGTGCTTTTGGATTAAGGCAATGGACCTTATGTCCCTGTCGATGTGAGTTGGGTGGGAAAAAAATCAGTTATTTCTGCAAGTGATATATCACAAAGAGCTTTCTGGTGAAATAGAAAGGTATGTCTGGGCATCCAGACCCTGTCCATACCTGTTTGTGTGTATCAAGGAAAGGGAAAGTATCATATAAAGTACTTAATTCTGATGCTGATCACTTTGTTGAAAGTAAATTGTGATCTGTGCTGTCTTCTTAGCTGGGTAATAGGTTCAGAGATGATAATTTATAGAAACTCTTCCTTCAGAAAAACATCGCGTTCCCTCTTTCAACATGCGGGGACAGAAGGGCTTTGTATTCTGCATTGGCTTTTAAAGAGTTTAAGACAAAGACACTTCTTGTGGGAGCCCCTTTACCGATACCCCTTTACACCTACAGAGGCCCTTGACTGCAAGAGAACATGTTAAATTTACTGATGTGAACGTCAGTGGCATTTTGGTGGTTCTGAATTTCTCTTTTCTCGTCTAGCTCCAATTAAAAGTTTTCAGTGCTTACAGTTGTAGAATACTGCTGTATTGCCCAATTCTCACACAAGTGATTGTATACTTCTACAACAGAGATATTAAAAGATTGCTCAGGATATTTCAAATAAATAATTCAATTAAACACTCCCGTAACAACACTGATGTTCTTCCATGATTGTATTTCTCAGCTACTGCAGCAACAACCTGTTAGTTGTTGTGAATAATTCCCTTCTGTTCTGTTTAGAAATACTTATGTTCAGTAGCTATAATCCTAACTACAGTTTTAAGACTTTAGACTTGCAGTTGAAAGGCAAGTAGTTCTTCCACAGATGCTTAAGATAACCAGTTATGAAAACAATTAGTGAGATTTCTAAACTGATTATTGAAGATAACTAGCGCTCTGGCCCTCTAGTGTTTTAAAATTTTTAAAGCAGCCTCTGTCTTTAAGAAAATATTTATTAAAGCAGTCTGATTAGTTACATTAGTCTTCTAAGGCAAGTATTAAATAATAATGAATTAAAAGAAAAAGCTAAGCAGAGAAAACTCTTTAGTAAATAACTGCTAATTAAAATTTGTCAAATGTGTGGGAGCTGGTTATGTGTTTCACTGTGTTGTCAGCTTCTGCTGCTTTACTTTTGTGTGAAGAACACATTTAGGTAGTTCTCAAGAAAGCTTTCATTTTTGTTTGATTTGTTTTAATGTAGTTAATCCTGTACCTTGTATGGCTGACCATATTAAATATGTATGTATTAAATCATGGAGAAGAAGGAAAATCTGCCTACATAAACAGCACCTGTTCTTAGTTTCTTCAAAGAATAAGTGTCAAAATCTGTTAATTGTTTAATTTAAAATGAATTTTTAATCTTTATTTTCACCACTTAATTGGTAACAATGAAAAATAAATCCATAGACACAAATACATATAACTAATGTTTCCCCTGCTTCTACTAAGAAAGGATGGAACATCATAATGTCCTAGTTAAAGTTCTGTACTGTAGCTTCTGGTTTTGATCAGTACCTTGATTTTTGATTCTTGCCCCACTCCCGTTACTAAACCTTGGCTTGCACCTTTCCCAATTGATATTTGTGTTTGGAAAAACAGGACTGCAGAACTTACAAAAAATTCCGTTTTTCCTTACCAATTCTCTTGGTATACTACTCTGTTCTTGCCTGTTTACACAGAAGGCAGCCGCTAAATGAAGGAGTGCTTTGAGTTGATTGATATTGTGGTTTCTCTGTATCACTGAAGTAGTTTGTTACAGGTTTAAACTGAAAAGTTTCAGAGAGGTAGAAAAATGTCCCTCCCCCAAATTAGGAAAAAGTCCATCTTCAGTGATCTGGGAAACAATATCAATCATTGCAACTGGGTTCTGTGTTATGGGATGTATATTATATTTCATCTTGTCTTTGGTACCCTATTGCCAGGAACTGTAATTGTCTGGCAGCAGGAGGGAGGTGACTAAGGGTATTCTTCCGTGATCTGTCTTGGAACCAAAGCTGTATGGAGGGATGTGCTTCTAAAACCTTCTGTGCAATGCTGTTTTGAGAGGTGGTGGTAATACCTGGGGACTTGCTCATTAGTCAGGAAAGCTAGATGATCTGTGGATTTGAGTAATTTTGAGTTCCATTCAATATTTTGCCCTTAAGGGCTTTTTTTTACCCTTAGGACTTAAGAAAGAACAAAGGGATATGTCAGTCAGCGTTCATAAAGGAAATGTATATGTGTTATTTGACTGAGTGAGAAATGAATCACACCTTGAAATGTCTCTGGAAAAGAGCAACTCCCAGGATGCACCTGATCGGAGACTTCCAGTGTAGACAGGAAAGTTTAGTGAGGTGTCATTTAATGTAGAGGGCATTTTTAGTTTCAGTCTAGTGTAAATCTGTATGTCTGCTGTTGCTGAGAACGTGGGGGGTTAAATATATTGTTTTGTGGGACGAGACTAATAAGT